TTTAAATTAAAATTTAATTATCAATTTTGAAAAAAATGAAAATACTTCTCAGATGATAAATATTTAATCTCACAATTCTAATTAGAGAATATTAAAATAGCCCATAGATATCCACACATGTGATTTATATTAAATATTAATACGCATATTATAAATATTAAAACTTCAATAAAATAGCATTATGTACTTCCATTGGAATATTTTTGTATATATATATATATATATATATATATATATATATATATATATATATATATATATATATACATATATATATATATATATATATATATATATATATATATATATATATATATATATATATATATATATACACATACATGCATATATACACACTATCATAAATCCAAAATCCAAAATACATACATAAAACCACATATCAATGTCCAAGTTCATCTACACATTTGTATACGTACGATTATGCATCCGCATCCATGTGTGCATGCAATCATTTCAATACCAAAATAATATTGTCCTTTCTATATATTTATTTCTAAATATATTTAGTTAGATTGAGGTTTTTATGTATGTATATATATATATATATATATATATATATATATATATATATATATATATATATATATATATATATACACACATTACAATCATAAATCTCAGATTGCAATAAACATTTCTATGTTAGCATATAGTATAATATTTGTGTAATGTACTTATAGAGAGGGATTTATATAATCGAGGGGAAAATTTAATGTTCTATAATTTTTAGGTAGTGTTTGTGTCCCATTTCACTATGATGATTAAGCAAATTCTCCTGATTTTTATATTTTAATTATAAGTTGTTTTTTTTCTCTAGCAGACATCAGCATGTATACTAGAATCTATTCTTAATTTTACTTATGTATTTCTATTTTCTTGTTTCTATTTTATCTAAAAGTTATTGGTTGCTTAATGAATCTTATACGGAACCTCAGAAATGGCTCAAAATGAGAAAAAAGAGGGCTTGGGAATTTGTGCACTTACAGAATATTTTAATTTTTCGCATATTCTTTCACAGTCTATAGCCTCTTACTTTATAAATGGCGATTTTGTTTTTCTTGGCGGTAAAATGATTACAAAATAAGACATATTGAACACAAGATGAAGAGAGGAAAGCAGCGAGTTTGTAGAAGAGGGATTAACCAAAAGGTAAATTTTACTACATACTGAAGGCAAGCGGAACGGTGGAAAGACACGCACACGGAGCTTGACAAAAGGCCTACAAAAAAGAAGTTGTGGGAGAGCCATGATCGCCAATGACCTGAAGGGAAACGGCACATAGAAGAAGAAGAAGAAGAAGAAGAAGAAGTGAATATAAGTGAATGTTGGGCAATAAGATCAGAGTTGAGGAAGAAATTTGAAGCAACAGAAATCTGATTTTACAGAAAAATGCTTGGAATACAATGGACCGAACATGTGAAAATGAATTTTTTAACGAATATGGCAACAAAAACAGAAGGAGAATCTTGTTTTAGTCGGCATGAGGCTATGAATTTTAAAAATAGCAAACAATGAAATCTACTAAACTGCTATAAACACATCACAGAGTTAACTGTTCTGAGAGAATATCAAAATTCCTTGAAATGAGTTACGAGAATATTAGTAGTAATTGTCTGCTAGAAAGTGTTATATTCCTATCCCTTCGTGTCGTAGGCGATCATGGCTCTCCACTCCCCCCCATATCCCTTGCATCTCTTAGTAAGTTTTGTCTCTTTGCTGCTTACCCCAGACCGTGTTCTGTCATCCACTTGCTTAATCCCGTTAGTATGTCATGCACTGCTTTCCCTTGTCCCTCTATTCGACCTGTGAGTATCAGATTCTCCAAGCCCTCCTTTCTCATTACGTGCCCCAGAAATTTCAGCTGTCTCTTCCTGATGTTAAGTATAAGCTTCCTCCTTGTTTGCATCCTCTCTAAAACCCCATCGTTCCTCACACGCTTGGTCCATGCTATCCTTAGCATCCTTCTGTAGAAGCATACCTTTGTTGCCTCGAGTCTCTTCTTCATCTTTGAAGAGACCATGCATCATTCGCTGCCGTAAAGGATGACAAATGTCATGAATCAGCACTGTACTCAGTATTTCTTTGTTACCAAAGAAATCCTCCTGTCTCGTAATACTCTGACTAACGTTTGGAATGCGTCGCTGGCCATCCCAATACGTCTTCGGATCTCAGCGTCGCACTTAACGTCCTCTGTCAAAACACTTCCCAGATATTTAAATTTCCGCACCTGATTGATTTTAGTGTCACTGATCTGTAAATCGCATTTCGGGCTCACCGTCTTCCTGATGACCATGCACTCTGTTTTCTTTTAGTTTATACTTAGTCCTTTCTTCTCCTTCTCGTTCGCTATCTTTAACGTTCTTTTTATAGATACAAGTATTTAAGTAAATGCTCTGTTTATAGTAAACAGTATTAAATAACATTTACCGGCCTGAATGTCCGAGAAATTTTCATAGAAAATATTCGTCCTTTGACAGGATTCGAACCTGCATCCTATACGGAACCGTCATTTACGCTAACGTGCCCTAACCGACTCGGCTACAAAGGTCGAATTTACTGCTTATAAACTTCAATCTTCCATGAATCTCGTACATTCATAACTGCTCATGGCGTATCAAATGTAAACAAATGACGTCATACATTAAGAATTGGACAAAATCCGACAATTTATTATTATATATATATGTAATTTATTATTATTATATATGTATGGGCATGTATATATACATACCCATACATATATTAAATATACAGTACTATTAAACGTATAGCTGGCAACATTATTTGTTTCAAAAACCTTATCTGAGGCCTTGTTTATTGTCATACCCTGGACGCTTTATTGGAGATGGATTATTAAAAGTAATAATATTTATAAATGGAAGAGCCAGTTTTAGATTCAATTCATACACATTCCTGTTATCTATTTTATTTTATTTTATGTTTTTTTTTGGGGGAGGGGTGATCTGTACTTCTAAGGAAATTTAATTGACGTGACTTATCGAAATCCCTTGTATAATCATTCCAGGTTTGACTTAAATATTCACTGAGATAAAATTGTGAGGTACATATTGAACTGCGACAGACAAACTGTAGCGTTGTCTCTGTATGCCTTGAGAGTTTACTCTAATTTCAAAGATAATGTATCTGTAAAATGTCACGAAAGCACTTTCAAACCGGACTCGTTTAACTGATCTTTCATAAGAGCTAGATGCCATGCATTTCCGCAAAACCATTATCTTGGGTCGTTTTGGGCGGATTAAACGTCTCCCGCATGCGTCAACATTCTCTGCGTTTCTCTAAATTCCATTATTATTTGTTCAATAATAATTCAAAGTGTCTTCCCACAGAGTGGCACAAAAATTACCAAGAAATCTGAAAAACTTTCTCTACGGCTTCGTCAGTCTTCATATACGATGCCCGTGATTTGTTTACGTTTTGGCATAAACTTAAAAAAAAACAAACAAACAAATTTTATTCTTTCTTTGAATAAAGTAGAGTTTTAAAAAAAAACTACTACGTCATATTGCGTTAAACAAGCCAAGGTTCACTGTAAATCGTAAGGAATTATTATTATATTAAGATAACTGAATGCTAAATTAGTCAATGAAAGGATTGACGAAATAGCTGGCAATTTAGGACTACGAACCCGAAACGATCGCGTAGAAAAACGGGCCAAATGGTGCACGGCGAATGAATAGACAAGACCTGGTTCCAAGGAAAACTAGGATGATTTGGTTTGGTTTATTTTTAAAAAAACCCAAATAAAACAAAAATATTAAAGAACTCCGGGACATCAATCTAACGGTTCTTTTTTTCCTCTCTCTCTCTCTCTCTCTCTCTCTCTCTCTATATATATATATATATATATATATATATATATATATATATATATATATATATATATATATATATATATATATATGTACCGTGTAACAAGCAAAATTGTACAAATCGTGTAATAGCATAATTGTCCATTTCACGAAATGTTTTCAACAAGGACTTTCCGGAATGGTTGTATGCGACCAGGCATGTTGTTTTAAATGCATAAAAATGTTAGAGTTATCATTCATTATATATATATATATATATATATATATATATATATATATATATATATATATATATATATATATATATATATATATATATATATTCCAAAACGTTTGTGCTAACTAGTTATGATAAGATATTTCCAACAATTTGTGAAGTATATTGCTTTTTTATTTTATATATTTAAATTGACCGGCTTGATATGTTTCTTTCTCTGTAGATACCGGTTTGGATTGAGAAATAGGAGAGCCGAGTTCGAATTTCAATTGAATCCATTACATTCACTTTTGAAACCTTCCTCACCCCAACTATGGACAAATAGCAGAACAGGCTGGGTTCTATAGCCTTGGATGGCAATTGGTCTAGGAGAAGGACAACTCTGAATTCAAAACCTGAGTGGGGTTGTTTGGGGACCTTGTGGCACGTAGGGCACCAGGTCTCTGTATTCGGCTCTTCAAAAAGTGTGGATGGTCCTGCACAAAACCTTCACCACTATAGTCATATCAAATGAGCAGGTGTTTGGCTGTGGCTTCGTAGGAGTTGCTTGAACCTCGTACGTCGAAAAGAAAAAATAACGGGAGAGTCAAGCATATGGACGCGAGTCTAAACAAGTTCAGAAGCACTATGAGGCGTTTCTTAATACATTAATCTCCAGAGATTTGACTTTTTTTATGAAAATGTGAGAAGCTAACACTTTTGGTAAGCGTTTGGGAAATTTACTTTGTAACGATTTCTGCCTTGGATTCCATCTTCTGTGTGATCTTTGTATGTAATTCTAAAAAATGTTCTTTTTCATACCATTTTAACGAATTCACGCATCGTAACTATAATTTATCGAAAGCCAATATCTGATCATTTTCGGATCCGAAATGAATACCACGTTATTTAAACAGTGCGTATTACGCGTGCCGAATTCGAACATATTTACT